CTACGCGGGCCCGTCGGCCGGGCCGCCCTGGTCCGCCGCTCCTCTGCGGCGCGCGGGGGGCGGCGACGCCGCCGCCGCCGACACCGACGCCGCCGACGACGACGACGACGACGACGACGATGCCGACGACGACGACGACGACGACGACGACGACGACGACGACGACGACGACGACGCCCACGACGATGACGACGACGACGACGCCCACGACGGCGGCGACGGCGGCGACGGCGGCGGCGGCGGCGTCAGCGGCGACCTCGGCGGCGACGGCGGCGACGACGATTACGGCTCTTTTTTGCGCGCTATACGGGCGCTTCTGGAAGTACCCGTGACCGCGGTCGTGCGCGGCTCGGAGCAACTGGCCGGGGTGAGGCCAGCCGCAGGGACTGGCCTCTGAAAAGGGAGCGGGCCCTTCTCAGAGGCCTCTTGAAATAGCTCCGCAAAAGACAGGGAGTCCGCTGCCAAGAGCAATCATGCACCTGGGGGTGCGCAGGACACTGAATTCCCAGTGCAAGTCGGCGCTTCACGTGCGTCCTGCTTGACGGTCAGATGCAAGATCCACTCTCGTGAACTTCAAACACTGGTTGGGCGGAGGGAAGGAAAGGAAACACGGGGACTGTACTACACTCTGCAAATCGGCTTTGGGCACGCATGACTTCCATTCGATTTCTGACTTGGTCATCAGTCGCTTAACAGTTTCTGCGCTCCCTATCGAAGACAACCATCGGGTACACGTGGGGTCCCCATTCCGACTTCGGACGCTCTGCTTTTCTAACGTGCCTGCTGGTTGCTGAGCTCAGTGCGCGCGGGCAAACAGTTGAAATGCGGACGAGGCATTCCTCCAGCGCGCGGGCCGCCGTGCCCCGAGCAAAATCTGTGTTTAGCTCAGGTATGCGTCATCGGCCTCTGCCGCGCGAGCTGTAGAACACTTGCGCTGATAACTCCAAGCAAAGAGTCTGGAACAATACCCCAGATCTTTTTGAGGCATCTGCAGTGGAAGCCGCTCGGACGCCGATGTTCTGCAACGGTAAGCCACGTGGTCGCGAGGCCGTCCGTCAACTTGCTCAGAGCAGTAGTGGTGTATATCTGGATGTTGCGTGCGCGGCTCAATTCAGAATGCTTCCACACTTTTGAAGCCGCCCGGAGATCAGCGCGCACATTCCCAAACCTCCTCGTCAGTTCCCGAACTGGGTGCCCATCTTCAGAGATGAGAGCCCCCGGATACACGATGTTTGCTTGCGGTTCGATGACCGACCTGCTTGGGATGCTCAAACTCGGCGGTGAACCGGATGCTCCGGAGCTGAAGCTTGCCTGCGTGGAGGTCCATGCCGTACGACATCCCTGCTAGTGTCACCGCTTCGAATGATTGTCCCACGTTTGCTGCGCTTCTGCTCACGAGAACCGACTAGTCCGCACACAATAAAGCATAGAGCCCGCCATCTTCCCAAAGTGCGCCATCTGCTTGTGGAAGTGCGTCTCGTGCATCTCGGATGATGACGGTCATGACCATGACTGACAGGATAAATGATAGCAGGCACCCTTGGGAGATGCCAGCAGCTTGGGGTCTCGGCGAGGGAATTGTTCCAACTGCGTTGGCTTGAAACCGTCAGTCGCGGTAGATCGTCCCGATCATGGAGAGGACGTGGTCTGGAAACCCAAACCAGCGGAGTCCGTGTAGAATTGCCGCAGGATCAATTGAGTCGAATACTTTTCTCCAGTCAGATGCCAACACATGTAACTTTCCAGCATTCGCAGCGCGTGCTAATTCTATTTGTCCCCGCGAGGCAAAACTTGCATCTTGGGTGCTGTACCCAGATCGGAATCCAAATTGCGTGCTCGATAGTCGTGTCTCCGCACCCCCTTTCACCAAACGCGCGTGCAACAATGAGACAAAGATCTTACAGTCGATCGAAAGCAAACTGACGGGCCTGTAGTTCGAGCGATCGTCCATCCGGCCTTCCTTGAAAATCGTCGCGATCCGGGCCGTATGCCATTCTGTCGGGACGCGTTTGAGCCGCCAACATGAATCTATCAAACGCATGATTTGCTGAACGGCCTCCGGCGAGGCACCTCGTGTTTTCCAATACGCTGGTGGTAAGCCGTCTGGGCAAGGCTCCTTACCCGCTTTCAATGTTTTCAAAGGTTTTCACCTCCTCTTGCATGAAATCGTTTGCGTCGATCGCCAGAGGAGCTTCTAATGCCGGCCTTGCGACGGGGTTGTTTCGCGCTCCTTCCACTGGACTGTCCCTAGATACGTCGGAATGATGTCTGCCCTCCTGCCGCTGCCCACCAAAAACCCAAGCGCATCGTTCACGCGGCCCCGTCTGCGCCCCCGCGGGCGCCGTAGTACCCTGTTTCGCCGCTCTCCGTACTCACTGACCGTGTTTCGCCGCTCTCCGTACTCTCTTACGCAGCCACTTCTCAAAGCCAGGATAGCCCGCTGCTCTGGCCGAGGCCCGCCGCAGCAAAAGACTTGCAGGTGTCGTTGGAATCCATGGGC